TTGGGAGGTGCTGGGGATGCAACAGGAATTCTGTCCTTACTAATACGGGGAATTTCCCAGACTGTGCTCTGCTTCATTTCTCCAGCACGTCTTTTCCCTGGAGCAGGAGAGCCCCCCAGCCCCTGGAGAAAGTTGTGGTGCCCAGGAGAGGAGCCGCTTTCCGTCGTGGGAGTTATGAAGGATAAATGAGGTTAAAGGCAGAGCCCTGTTCTTGCCAGGTGATGAAACACCACTGATTTTTTACCCCGGTTTTAGCTCTGGGATGACACCGGTAGAGAGCAAGGCCGTGCCTGTGCATTTCAAAAAAAACAGCGAATGCACCTGGAGCACCCCAAAAACACCAAGCCCGGGTGCGACGCAAATCAGCGGCCAAGTTTCTGCACAGTAATGATGTGGCCCTACGTGTCTCCTGGAACAAGCCAGGCGTTTCTTTCAGCACGGGAGGCATCCGCAGGCTTACGGTCTTCCCTCACGTGGGGCAAATCCGGGGATCCAGCAGGATTGTGTTCCTGTTTCCAGAGACTCAGAGCCCAGCAGAGATGTGCACGGATCACCCTGAGCAGAGGTGCGCCTCGAACCCACGAGGGTGGTTGCTTGTGAAGAAATGACCAAGCCCTGGAACCTGGGTAACGTTTAACTCATGGGGGTACAGAGGAGACGTCTGTACCCCACAGCCAAAGCCTTGGCCCAGCGCAGTTCCTTGGCCACCATTTCTTTTGAAAGAAATCAAGGAGGAGAACCAGGCCCACCAGTGAGATGTCAGCTTCGTTGTGAGAAGTTTTTACCCAGAGCATCACATCCAGTGGTGCGGCCAAGGGGCAGCGTGTCACTACCAGTGAGAGACAACCATCAGGAATTCAGTAGTGTTATAAAAACCAACCAGCCATCAATAAAAAACAAGTCTGGGAGGCAACACGGAAAATGCCAACAGAGGATGGTGGATTTTAGTATCCAAGCTAAAACAGAGGCTGTTCTGAAACCCCTCCCAGTACCTGAGAAGAGTTTGTCCCGGCTCCGGTCGACGAGGCGCTGGCAGTACTGGATTTCTGCCTTCAGCTCCTGCGCTTCAGCAGAAGCTGACTTGTACTCTTCCTTCAGGTCTTTCAGCTTCACCAAGAGCAAGAAATCGCTCTCGTCAATTATGATCCGTCCTTTCTGCTGAACGTACGCTCCTGGAGGGTGAGAAAAAGGAAATGAAGGTTTCTCATGAGGGTGGAGAGGGACAAAGAGCAGTCATTATGCTTCGAACCGCACGGTAGTTACCCAGTTATACTGAGGTTAACCACACAACTGACATTTCCTTAGACAGGCTTTCCACAAACGCAGCAGCGTGGGGCAGAAATCGCTGCTGAGCTCCTGAACCTCATGAAAAGAGAAACCCTCGCTTTGGTAGGGATCCAAGGGGATTTGCTCAACCTTTAGCAGAAAGAGCTTTGCATCCAGCGGGACCAGACCCGACAGGAAACAGCCCCTTGGAAAGCACAGGCCTAAAATGTTTTCTCTGGGAGGATAAATGGAACCCAGCAGAGCAGCGGTCACTCTAGGTCTGACTCTCGGGGCCTGCTCGCTGGTGACCATTCCCCTTCTGCCTCATTCCCTCTTATTTCCTGCTAATTGCCAGGCAATAAAGGCTGTAGTTTCACAGAATTGCTTTTGCTGTCCTCCCCACCTGCAAGGAACACCACTGCTGCTTCCTCTCCATCACGCACTGAGCGCTCTGGACCACTCTGCTGTTCAAACCATTCATTTCAGATTTCTCTCCTTGCCGGGAGGCATTTCTTTTACTCTTGGGAGTCCTGCTGCAGGGAGCACGAAACTGGATACACTTCCTAGTCTCATCCAGGCATATTCCGCCCAACATCTTGCTGCGGCAAAGCAGGAAGGCACTTACCCCCTTTTTACCTCTAGTATGAATCTGGGATTTTGACTTTCATAAAGCCAGTCCCCAACTGAGTTGAAATCAAGCTCTAGGAGATGCAGCAGATCTCCAACACAGCCAGGGAGTCGATTTCTGCCCCATGCCGACCTGTGCTCGTCAGCGGCACGCTGCCTAACCCTTCACAGAATGGGGTGAGGGATCCACCTGACGGCAGCTCACCTCACTAGTGTAAAGGCTGAGTAGCACGACCTGATGAGGCTGAAGGAGGTGGCAACCCACAAGGCCAGCTGCAGAGCTCGGGCCTAAAACCCAGCCTGCTCCGCTGCCCTGGCAAGCAGCAGTGGTGTCACCAGCTGAACTGGTGGTTTCTGGGTCACTCACTTCAAGAAAGACACTGAGGTGCTGGAGCGGCTCCAGAGGAGAGCAACGAGGCTGGGGCAGGTACCAGAGGGAAAGTCCTGTGAGGAGAGGCTGAAGGAGCTGGGGGTGTTTAGCCCAGAGAAGAGACCTGGGGGGACCTTCTCACTCCCTGCAACTCCCTGAAGGGAGGGTGCAGTCAGGGGGGGATCGGGCTCTTCTCCTGGGCAACCAGTGACAGGACAAGAGGGCCCGGCCTGAAACTGCGTCAGGGGGGGTTGGGGGTGGGGCTCCGGCAGCCTGGAGAGGGTGCTCAGGCACTGGGATGCTCTGCCCAGGGCAGGGGGAGTCACCGTCCCTGGGGGGGTTTAAGGAGAGGTTGGATGTGACACTTAGTGCCCTGGTCTGGCCCATGTGGTGGGGTTGGGATATAGGTTGGACTTGATGATCTCAGAGGCCTTTTCCAGCGTCAATAATTCTGTGATTCTGATTCTGTTCCCTTTTCTAACGGTTTCTCACCGGCCAGCGTCCACGCAGCGACTTACCCTGCTGACGCCACTCCTGCTTGCGAGTCTCCAGGGCCCTGTTGATGCCGTCCATCTCACGCTTGATGGAGGAGATCCTCTGCATCACTGCAAAGTTCTTCTTCTTCCTCGCGAGGAGGATGCTTTTGTTCTCTTTAAAGATTTGGATGATCTCACTTCCGCACTCCTCCTGAAATTGCTCAAATGCCACGAGCTTGGACGGAGGGGAGCTGCAACAGAATTCGGAAGAGATCGCACGCGGGGAGGTCAGTTTGTTCTGCCCCGCAGAGCGACGCGGTTCACTGGAGCGACCATGGCTGCGGTTTGTGGATGGTTTTTCAAGGAGCCCTTTGAGGATCTTGCCATGCTGACCTCACCCTGTTACCATCTCTGTGCCAGCCTTTACACCCACTTTCCCCCAGTGCCACCATCAGAAGAAAGAATTGCTTACGTACAAACCACATTCCTTGGGAGATGCCTCAGAACTGAGTTTTCCCTGAAAAGTGCGCTTTTACTGGTTTGAATCTTCAGAAAAATAATGCACGCTGTTCCTCCTTATTGTTAAACAGAAATGCCTTTGCTCTTCCCTCGCTGGATCTCCCAGCATAGACCAGTTACCTCTGCCAACCAAACCCCAGAGCGGCACGTGTTGGACGGCTCGACAGTGCTGCTGCTCGTGGCTTTTAAGCCTGACATATTTAAAAAGACTGAATTCAAAGCGCCGTGTGTCAATCCTGACTTTTCTATGCTTTAGATGCAAGCAAGCCCCTGTGACCTGGCTCTTACTTCAAGACAAAACCTGACAGGAGGTTGTAGCGAGGTGGAGGTCGGTCTGTTCAACCAAGTAACAAGCAACAGGATAAGAGGAAACCTTCTCAAGTTGTGCCAAGGGAGGTTCAGGTTGGATATTAGGAAAGATTTCTTCACTGAAAGGGTTATTGGACATTGGAACACGTTGCTCTGGGTGGTGGAGGAGTCTCCATCCCTGGAGGGATTTAAAAGTCAGGCAGACGCAGCGCTTGGGGATGTTGTTTAGTCGAGGACTTGTCAGCGTTAGGTTGGGCTCGATGATTTTAAAGGTCTTTTCCAATCTAGGGCATTCTGTGATTCTGTGACACAACTCTGCACGAAAGGAGAGTCCCTCAGGAGAACATCATGCTCCCAGGGACACCGCTCTGTGCCACGTGAGGTCGTTCTGGCTGAGTGGGCTGGATGTGGCAGGAGAAGGCAGCTAGAAACCTCCCGTCCAGACGGCTCAAAGCAAAACCCTCATTGCTGCCTTCCCCTGACTGACCTCGTAAGGGCATTTTTCAAACTCCTCAGAGCCTGCGGGAGGCTGCTTTCCCCGCCAAGCTGCTGGCAAAGCGCTGTGAACAACGGCCGCTGGGCAGATTGCCACCGCTACAGCTTCCAACAGCCGGCTACCACGCTGCTTGGAGCACTCTGGGCTGTGCCTTAGGCAGCTGCAGCAGCAGCCTTCCCTGCCAGCCACAGGACTTTTTTCAAAGAACACCAAAAACACACACAGAGGGCATGAAGGAACATGACAACACAGTCAGGTGCTTCACAGGTAAATTCTCCTGGGACAGCTTCACTGCGATGCGGCAGGAGCGAGCGAGGAAGAGTCGTCAACAGCACAGGCAATCGAGGTGCTTGTAGTGCTTTGGAGCTGCGTCACTTGGAGCTTTGAGAGCTTAGAGCAAGAAAAGACGGCTGGTGAGGGGAAAAGTGGTGTCCAGACCAGTTTGGGGGGGTCCTGGCTGAGCTCTGGCGAGCTGAACAGTCTCATGTTATTAGAATCATCGGACGCATCGGGTTGGAAGAGACCTTCAGGCCATCCCTGCAGTGAGCAGGGACATCTTTAACTGGATCAGGGTGCTCAGAGCCCCATGAAGCCTGACCTTGAACATCTCCAGCGATGGAACCTCCACCACCTCTTCCAGGAAACCTGTGCCAGTGTCTCACCACCCTCAGCGTAAAGAACTTCTTCCTAATGTCTCATCTAAATCTACGCTGCTCTAGTTTAAAACCAGCGCTGAATGAAACGCGATGAACGAAATGAAATGTAATTCAGCGCTGCCTTCCCCTGCTAAACTCGTATCGTGGTACGAGCAGACAACTGGCACGTTGCTGCATTTTTGGGCACTCTCCACTCTTCCACCCAGATGTGGCACCTCCTGCCTTGACCTTGTGCAGCTACCAACCCATTTTCGTGAGTGCGTGGGGTTCAGGCCTGGATACAAAGTCTCCCTGCATTTTTACCACAAACCAAAGGGTAAAGAGCGTTACAATTTTCAGAGACGTAATCGCACCAGTGTAAATCACCTGGCAAAGGGAATATACACCCTTACAGGGAAAGCTTACCTGGGCCGCTGGGAATCCTCCAGGGGAGATGGATTTGGGAGCCCAACCTCAAGAGTTGCTGCATCCTCCTTCCTTTTTCCCTCTTTCACAGCCAGATCCCTGGTGGAAATCAATACCGGCATTTCTGATGGTGATTTTGATGGTGAAAAACCACCCAGATCTCTCCCAGGAAGAGAGTTCCTGACTTCTTCCATTCTGACAGAGCCGGGAGAGCTGAACTCTATTAATTAATCGCTTCATAATAAGCGAATGGAACAATAACATGCTGTGGGTGCTGGCTTTGCTGCCTCAAAAACTAGCAGTCTGACATTGCAGTGAAATACCTACTCACAAGGAATAAAATCAGCCCTGTGCTCACAAATTCCTACTCCCTAGAGTAGAGGGACTGTCTTGCATAGAAAATGCTAGGGAACACGGCCCAGGCTGGATCAGGAATCTTGAGAAGGATCACAAGGACAACAGTCCCACCCTGTCTGGGTCAGGAGAACCCTCTTTACCTTGAGAGGAACCTACAAACTGCATCGCTTAGGATTTCATCTAATCCCACATCTAAACCCAGCTCAGCTCTCTGTTCTTTGCCCTCCGCTCACCTCCACGAACACCCCCAGCCTCACCTGCAGGGGATAGTGTCACCTCAGAGAGATACAGGAAAGTATCTTTTAATACAGAGACGCTTGCCAAATCTCCTTCCATCTCCTTGAAAAACAGAACTGCACAGAGGAGTCCTCCCCGTCACGTGGCTACTAAAGCCTTGGTGGTTCCTCTAACACAAGGACTTCAGGGAAATGTCAGAGAGGAACCAGGCAGATGCTCTTGGCCGTAGAAGTAGTTGTAGAAACTGTCAGTGCAGGGACTTCACTTCTATAAATTGAAAGATCTGGAGGATCTTCCTCTGCTCAGTACAGAGGGCTGGCTCTCTCTTCCCCCTCAAAACCTCTTCTCCTTACCCACTCCTCCGACCACTGTCCCTTCCTCCCTTTCCACCTAGCAGATCTCCTGCCTAACACTTGAAAGAAAAGCTGCGGGTTTATCATGTCTTCGGATGCCATCGCAGGACTGTTCCCCTGCCCGCACGTTCAACTCTCTCCCCGTGCTGTGACAGGGTAACCTCATCTGTGCTGGCTGCGAGCTCTTCAGCTCAGAGCCTGCCCACCCAGGGTGCCCACAGCTCAGAGAATCACAGAATATCTGGGGTTGGAAGGAACCTTGAAAGATCATCTAGTCGACCTCCCCTGCCAGAGCCGGATCACCCAGAGTAGGTCACACAGGAACACATCCAGGCAGGCTTTGAATGTCTCCAGAGAAGGAGCTCCCACCCTGAGCAGAGCTCTGCGATCTTGGTTCATCCGTAACGGACACAAGGATGAACGATTCACGGCAAATCCTCCGGATAATCAAGGTCTGCCCTACCACAGACTGTGCACATTCCCTTAACGTCCTCCTGATGGTGGGGCCACCGCAAACCCTCCCAGCGCTACGCTAGAATGTCATCCTTGAGGAAACGTGGAACATCCATGTGCCTGTTAAGGTGGCGTCAGCTCTGCCTTCCTCCATGGGCTGCCCGTCACGCCTTGCCCAGAATTAGCAGAGAAAAGAGAGAACTGCCCGACGGTTTCACTCACTTGGGCTGCTCTGCAGTCATCCTGGACACCCTCGAAGAACGTTCAGATGAAGAACGAGCAGTTATGGTTCCAAAAGACTGGCCGTCCTCTTCCTCCACCAGGTGGCCATCCACATCAACCACAACTGCCTGGAAACGGGAAGGAAGAAGCTGTGGACCAGGAAGCGTTAGATCTGTAGCTGTGTACACCACCAGAGCTCCAGAGCTCTTGCCCAGCAGCTGTTCCAGGCGGGTGCACAATCTCACCTGGAAATCCGAGTATTTCAGGGAAGCTTATCTATGAGAATGAAGCAGAAACTAAAATGGGGGCCCCAATTAGCCTCAAACTCATATGGCAAATGTTTCAGCCAGTTAGGGGGAGAAGAGCTTGGGTTTAGTGGCACAGAAATAAAAGAACCCTCAGAAACCTTCATTTAGCAGAGATATATAAGGTAACTACATTTCTTTTGCTTAAATCACCTCAACTATAAAACAGAGGGGCCATTAAGAGCTAAAACCACCTTAATCAGGTTTCAATTTTAGTTTCTGCTTCTTAAGTCTTGAACAGGCCTGTTAGAGACCATGTGCTTCTCTGTTCTACAAATACTCGGCATTTTCCCTCGTGCTTTCCTTCCGAAAAAATCAAAGCATCCTCAGTTAACCCACAGGACAAGTACATGACTCTGTAGAACAGATAATTATTATTTTTTCTGCCTTACTGGGTAAAACCAAGGCAAGGAAAAAGCCTCATCAGAAACATCATATTTCTCAGGTGGAGATAATTAATGAAAAATAGATTATAAACTATGAGATAGAGTCCACATCTGAATTCCTGGTTTACATAGGAAGCATTTACTTTGCTCCAGAGCGATCTCAGCAGAGGCAAGTGATCTGACCCTGCCTTCTACAACACACTGACAGACAGGTCACCTCCTAGTCTGTAATTTCTTCTTTCATAACCTATTCTGTTCAGATAAGGGGCCTAACCCTCTGCTGATGCAAACGCCACGTTGTTAAGAGGCGTGCCTCCGCTCTGTGCGCGTTTTAGGACGCGCTCAGCCCGTCCACACCTCCACGCATCAGGTTTTGACGGGGAAAAGCTGAGAACTCCAGGCAATTCACATTTCAAAGGAGCCGACTCTCAGACGGATTCTGGGTCGGGCTCGGGCGTTACCTTTCCAACAGCTGAAATGGCAGCGAAGTCATTCTTGTCGATCAGAGCGTACTTGCTCCGCAGCCTGGCCTCCACTTCACGCTCCTGTTGACTAGAGGAGAAAACAACCCCTTTACTGCCGGGCTCACGGAGGACTATTGCCCACGCCACAAACCATACCGGATTTCCACAGAAAACCATCTTTTACTGGTGATTTCATTCCCAAACCCTTCACAAACCATACCAGATTTCCAAAGAAAACCATCTTTTACTGGTGATTTCATTCCCAAACCCTTCACAAACCATACCAGATTTCCAAAGAAAACCATCTTTTACTGGTGATTTCATTCCCAAATCCTTCACCTTGCTCCTTCTACTCTTCTCCATGACCTTTGTAACCCTGACCCACTCTCCCTTTAGGCCTTGTAGACATGGAAGCTTTTTTGAGAGCCGTTTCAATACTTAGCATAACCTTTTAATGGTCCAGATCAAATAATACCATTTCTCTTTACTGCCTTACTTTAACCTAGAGATTTTTAAGCTAAGGGACGTATTCACGGCAAGAGAACAAGCACAGCATTGTCAATAAGTTTAAATACACCAAGCCTGAAAATCAGTAGAGAATCTGCAAGTTCAAGAGGTAGAAGTGCACTGTTTCAGAACCAAGCCCAAAAAAATCATAAACAGGCAAAATTTTACCACGAAACCCATTTTGGTCTGGAGTCCCAGCAAAGCCAGGCTGCCCAGCGGGATGATGTACCATGGGCACTTGCGTTCACACAGATTTCTTGAGGGCAGAGAGATTTTCTACAGGAATATCCCAACGTAATCCCTACTGCCTAGCCAGACTACTGCTGCAAAGTTTGGGGAGGCAGCGAGGGGGTGGGTTGCCCTAATACCCTTCTTCTTCTTTGCTCTCTTCTGTTTCATGATCTGGAAGCTGCTTGTCCTCAAACTCTATGATCCTACGATTCCATGATCCTACAGAGCCTGGTTTCCCTTTTGAAAAGAAACTGCCTCGCACTACGGACGTACGCCCCGTGCCTCGGGATCCTGCCCAGTTTGCTTGTGCTCAGTGACGGTGTATTTGCCAAGCAGAAAAGTCTTCTTGGGCAAATTTGTGCAGAATTGGGTATTCAGTTACGAGTTATTCCCTGTTTTTCAGAATGTTTCTTTCCGGATGTCACGGTGAAGTGTGACAGCACAGCTGAAAGCTTGGTGGAATTTCTAAACCTCGCCACGAAATGCACCGCTCGTGGAGATCTTACCTTACAATCAGCTTGAACTGCTTAAACACCTCCTGGATTTGCCTGACGTTCACTATCTGAGGGAGAGAGGAATACAGGGGAGATGGAAGTAAGTATTTCTCTGCTGTGGTCAGCTCTACCGATTCAGGTAGTTCAGATCGTGAGGGCTCTGCTTTTCACTTTGCTGGGTATCCACATGCAAGAAGAGTCACCTTTATCCTGTGCTTGAGAATCAGCCTGGGGGTGGATCCACTCTGAGGGGATTTTTAAAAAGACAGGGAATGGATAGACTGTGGCAAATTCCACGGTGCGCGTGGCCAGGGAGGTTATTTACAACACTATTCACGATCATTTTACAAATTACATTGATGGCACCTACTGACCTTCCAGATTAGGATGTTACATCATTTTTGCTGCTGCCCAAGACTGCCTGAGTACCTGCAACTGTCAGAATGTTCTCTTTTATCCTCTTACCCACGACAACAAATCAACGTCATTGGGCCACACAGAATCACAGGATGGTCGGCGTTGGAAGATCCTCTAGTCCAACCCCCTGCCAGAGCAGGATCACCCAGAGTAGAGCCTACAGGAACGCATCCAGGCAGGTTGGAAAGTCTCCAGAGCAGGAGACCCCACATCGTCTCTGGGCAGCCTGGGCCAGGGCTCCGGCACCCTCCCAGTAAAGAAGCATTTCCTCCCACTATCTCTGTTTTGGAGATGATGAGCAGAGGTGTGGACAGACAAGTCACAGGCAGTCTGGAGCTGAGCAGGGAATCAGCTCTCCCATCCATAACTTCCATTTTCTTACATTTTATTTTTTTTCCCGTTCGCCTCCACAGGAATATTTGCGTATGCAGGACTTTTGCTGGTCCTTTTCGCAATATTTTTGCAGTCAACAGGTAGTTTCAAGCTGAGAAACCCTTCTCTAATGAACTTGCCTCTAAGAGACAGGGCATATTTTAGCAACACGCCCTGCAAAGATTGAGTTTAATGTTGGCAGGGCAAAATCTGGACATTAATCTTTCAAAGAAGTTCCAAATAAACCAATTCAGAGGGTTTCAGGACTGAGGAGAAGTCTCCTCAAGCTTCCAAAAAACCCAGAAAAGGAATGAAAACAAGGAGACGCTCCTTATCACACACACAAAAAGTTAAATTACAATTTTGTAGCACTTCTGGGGTTAAAGAAAGCCTCTTTCTTTTTTACTGTCATGCACTAAAATGAGATGGAATCAGTATTTATGTCCTTCCCTGCTAGAAAGCTACTTACATCGATTTCATCAATGTCTCCATTTAGGTATTTTCGGACTTGAGACTTAATCTCTGCTATCTGGACGTCAGTCAGAGGGTCGTAAGTCACCGGAGAACAATTTACCTAAGAAAAAAGGTGAACATCTGAGCATCAGTAAACTACAAAAAGCTAAGCAGACACCCAATGTTGCTTTGCTGCACCCGGGGAAGCCTTATATTTAATTTCTGGCTGCGACTTCTCATCACTCGAGTTGTGATGCTGAAAGCAATGTGCTCCCCTTTGCATTTAAATCAAATGAGAGGAGAGCTTCAAGAGCCTGAAAAAAACAATCTCCAGTGGCTGAGGACCAAACACATGCCCTCTCACCACGTGGGATCGTCAGAGCTCTGCCTAAACCCCAAAAGACACTGCTGGAAGTGGAAGAATACAATCACACCGGACGCTACGGTCAAAGATCCTACTGCAAAACAAAGATCATGACAAAGTAGGTCCCGTCTAAAGATGCTGCAGCATGTTCCTTACCAAGCTGTTATTCATGGCTAGTTCCTGCTTGAGAAGAGCAATCTCCCTCTCCAAAGCCTTCACTGTGCCCTGGCAGAAAAACAAAAAGGAGTGAACAATTGAATGCCTGTCAAGGGTAGATGCTCTCTATCAAACCCTCTCCCTCCACACAGGGGAAGGGAAAAGGGAATAAGGCAGAGAGACTTACGAATTGGGAAGGAAAACTAAAAGAGCGTTAATGGCACAATAACGGTGATAAGAAGAAAATCAGGAAAATAATAGCACGTAGACAAATGTGTACAAAACCAATATCGAACCCAAGTCCCTGATGGCAATCTGCGGGGACGCTGCAGCGCAGGCGGCACCAGGGCAGCCCCAGGCTCAGCGGCAGCGAGGGACCGGGCACAGGAGCTGGGTTCAGGGACTGAGGATCGGGACCAAAGGCAGAAGATTGGCCGGAGTCCTCCTCGGACGCCGGCCATTGAAGAAGAGGGTTTAACGCCGTGATCCCTCAGCTTTATACTCAACGTGACGTGTACGGGATGGAAAACTTTGTTGGCCAGTTTTGGGTCACCTGTCCTGTCCGCTCCTCCCCGGAGGCGCGATCTTTTTACTTCCTTTCGATCCTTTTACTTCCCAGCAGCCTCACTGTGTTACAGAAGATTTATCAGTGACCTTGGCTACTCTAGGAGTAAGTACAAGCAAGAGCCTTCCTGCATACCGATCCCTGGTAGTAACTCTAAACACCAGCCGTTATCACTTCTAGTAGCAGCCACTGTCTGCCAAAACTCACTGTTGACTTCAGAGACTGAAAAATAAAACCACTGAACAGAAACCGTTCCATTTAGCTCAAACCAGGACAAGGCTCTTGGAGAAAAAAACTGCCAAAAAAGCGGCACTGAACCAGCTAGAGGAGAACATCACGGCTGCGTTCGCGCTCCCCCAGGGCTTGCTGTCAGGTTGGCCCCGGTGAAGCAGTGGGTCTGGAAATCCCTTTGATGAGCTGCCAGCAAGGCAGCTTCTGGCTGCCTGCAGAGCCGGCCTAAGCCATTCAAAGAAGGGCCACCTGCGTTTTAATTTGGTGCTTTCCTGATCTGAAGGGCCATCAGGTTCTGGAGCAGGAGATATTATCTGAAAAGCAAAGAAGGTTTCCACTCTGACCCTTCCTGAGCTCAGCAGGAGTTCTGACACGGATTTGAAGAGCTGTGGGAGTCTCCTGCGGTGTATTCGATTGAATTTCTCCCTAATGTGGAAAATGTTCCAGCATTCGCTACTCGGAACCCGTTCCCAGAAAGGTGGGGGTACACAAATCTCCTCGGGATTCAGTCAGAATTGGTTATCGAGCCGCTTTTTTTAAGTGCTCTGTTGAGTATCAAGAGCTTCCCTAAGCAGGATTCTTTTGGCTCCTCTTTTCCACTCCACACACCTCAATAAAAAATGAAAGGGACCGAAGAGGAAAAGACAAGTTTGTTGCGCAGCTGCTTCTGGAAGCTGCCGGAGGAAACTCCCCGGCTGGCTCTCTGCTCGCCACTGAGATCAGCTCGTGACATACAACGGTTCTCACGCACCCCACGTGCTACGGATCAGCTGAACATGAGCCAGCAGTGGGACCAGGTGGCCAAGAAGGCCAACGGCCTCCTGGCCTGTATCAGAAATGGTGTGACCAGCAGGAGGAGGGAGGTGATCATGCCCCTGTACTCGGCACTCGTGAGACCTCACCTCGAGTGCTGTGTCCAGTTTTGGTCACCACAGCACAAGAAGGACATCGAGGTGCTGGAGCAGGTGCAGAGGAGGGCAACAAGGCTTGTGAGAGGTCTGGAAAACAGGCCCTATGAAGAGCGGCTGAGGGAACTGGGTTTGTTTAGTCTGGAGAAGAGGAGGCTGAGAGGAGACCTTATTGTCCTCTACAACTACCTAAAAGGAGGCTGGAGTGAGGCTGGTGCTGGTCTCTTCTCTCTAATTCCTAATGACAGGACAAGGGGAAATGGCCTCAAGTTGCGTCAGGGTAAGTTTAGGTTGGAT